TTGCAACTCAAACACTCTACACTGTCAGGAACAAAACGGACTCTGTCCCTAACTACGAGCTGTTCAGGCGCCCGCGAGCCTATATAAAGCGAGCAGGACGCCACTTCTTGTCACCGCACATCCTCACCCGCCCTCACTCATCCCACCAGCCCCCACGCACGCCCAACCGACGCCCTTACACACCCAGACCCGCCTACACCCGCCCTAAACCGCCCTGACCCGCGCCCGCACTCGCACGTACCCGCCCTCATCCACCCTCACCCACACCCCACCCGTCCTCACCCGCCCTGATCCGCTCTCACCGGCCCTGATCCGCTCTCAACTGCCGTCAACCACCATGGAATACTTCACCCCCACGAAGGCTGGAAATGTTCTGAAGATACTCGCCGAGAAACGGGCGGAGCGTAAGGAAAATCTCGCTGTATTTCTCCCAGACAGTCAAGCTACTGACACTGACTCCGATGTCGAAGATTCAGACTCGCCAGTCATGGACGCCTTCATTGCGTCTGGGGGAGCCGGCGCTGTTCTTGAAATGACAAACTTTTCTCTTCTAGAGTTCAACGCAATCTGGAACATTCTCAAGGATGCAATCACTACGGACTGGAATTGCGGTCAGGGTCGAAAATGCCAGCATCAACCGAAAGACGTGTTCTTTATGTTACTTTCCACGCTGAAGCACAGTGGAAATTGGGACTTTAATGGAAAGATGTTCGGCGTCAAAGGCCCAACATTTGAGCGCATGATTCTAGGGTTTATCGAGAGGATTGTGGATGTACTGTATGATCTGGCGGTGATCAAGTATGAGAAGCGTTACACCATGCAACGTCTTTTGCATGAGAAGAAGACCTTCAAGCACTACAAGTTTGCACTGTATGCTACGGATGTCACCTTCCAGGCATGCAACAGGCCATCCGGAAATCACGAAGAGAGCAAAACCTACTTCAGTAACAAGCACAAAATGTATGGGTACAATTCCGAGGTATCGGTATTGCCAAACGGCATCGCAATTGGAGCAACGCCACATCAGCCAGGCTCTGTTTCAGACTTAACAATCTTCAGCGACAACGTCCAGTGGCATGGTTCAGCACTGGCAAAAACCCGAGAGGAAATGGAAAACTTTCCAGATGTTGGTCCGTTGGCGGAGGAATATGAGGGGCTTTGGGCTGTTTTGATGGACAAAGGTTATCAGGGCGCAGCAGATGTCATTAGGGCAATAAATCCGAAGAAAAAGCCAAAGGGAGGAATGCTCACTTCGGAAGAGCAGCGGACAAACCGAAACATTAGTTCTGACCGCATTATTGTAGAGAACTACTTCGGGCGGCTCTGTACGCTATGGGCTGTAATGGCCAATAGATGGAGGTAGGATGAGAAGCATTACGACCACGTTTTCAAATTGTGCGTTGCGTTGACAAATTTGCATGCCAAATGGCACCCATTGAGGGATGTCGACGGTCTACACGCCAAGCAGTACAAACGGCGACTGACTGAGATCGGCGTCAAAAAAGCTGAAAAGCGTAAAGCTTCGCAGAAGCTCTGCCGCGCGAAACGTGCTGCACGCATGTCCTCGGCGCTGGGTGCGGATGGAAGAGGTGAAGAGATGGGCGCGGGGGCGATGCTGGACATACTTAACACTTAGTATGCTTCGAAGTACGCCACTGCTTACTGTGTCAGTGCTCAAACTCGTTGTTCTTTCTTTATGCTTGCTCTTTTGCGCAATTTGCTCCTGTTTGCGCAACGATTGCGTCAATTGCAAAAAATAAAGTCTTTCACCTACAAACGCCGTTCTCTGCACACTGCTTAGTGTTTTCACATTTACAAAGCTACTGAATTCGAGCTCTATTGAGCGGTCTTTTGAAATCACGCCATCTCACTGCAATGCGATCCATCCCTGCATATCTCCACGTAATCGCACTCACCTCCCATGACAGCTACCCCCAAACTTGCCCCGGACGACGGCCCCATTCGCCACCCCTGATGGCGAACACCCCAACCTTCCCCGTGACGGCGCCCACACCCACCGGCTCCCTGACGGCGCCGGACGCCGTGACGGAAAGTGCCCATATCCACTTTCCCCTACGGCGGCGACACCCCCTCCCCTGACAACGTCCACATGCATCTCCCCTGACGACGAATACACCCACTTCCCCTGACGGCGGCGACATCTACCTCCCCTCACAACGACCACGCCCACCTCCCCCCGACGGCCGCGACACACCCCTCCCCTGACGGCGGCCACATCTACCTCCCCCGATGGCGGCAGCACTCCCTCCCCGGACGCCTATCACAACCACCTCTCCCCACGGCGTTGGCACTCACCTCCCCTCACAGAGACGACAATACCCTTCCTCGACGGCGACGACACCCACTTTTCCCGACGGCGGCCGCACTTGCCTCCCCTAACGGCGTCCACATCCACCTCTCCTGAAGGCGACTACACCTGCTTCCCCTGACAGCGGCACATCCACCTTCCCTCACAACGACGACATCCACCACCCCGACGGCGGCGACACTCCCCTCCCCTGACGGCGGCCACATCCGCCTTCCTCGACGGCAACCACCCCTACCTCCTCCATCAGCAACCAAACCTACCTCTACCTCCCCCAACAGCAACCACACCTACCTCCCCCGACACCTCACCACGGTTTGCCAACCCCTCTCTGCATCATCATTCCGATCTGGCTCTGGTCGTCATGGAAGCGATAACGCCCACCGATGCGCAAGCCGCTTTACAGATTTTGGCGGATGCGGCTATTGGCGGCGAAGCAGCTCTCGCGCAGTATCCCTGCGAGCCACAAGCAGACACTGACGAGGAGAATGATTCAGACAGCCCCATTCTGGACACATTTTATAATAACGGAGGAGGCACTGCCATTGTTTAGTTAACAAACTTTACCATCAAGGAGTTTATTCAGCTCTACGGAAAAGTTCGCACCTTCCTGGCCAATAATTACAACGTTGGCCGTGGGCGACGATCTCAGTACACCGCAAAGCACGCCCTTTTCATGGTCCTAGCTACTCTCAAACATGGAGGACAGTGGGATTATCTCGGCCAGACGCTCAAGATGAAGGGTGCGACGTTCGAGCGATTGGTTACAAACTTCATTTTTATGATCTCTACAAGATTCTATGAACTGTTTCTACTGGAAAAGGCGGAACGGTGGCCCATGGAGCGACTGCTGGACGAAAAGAGGGCATTCAAGCACTTCAAGTTTGCTCGATACGCTACAGATGTTACCTTCCAACAAGCTAACCGACCGAGCGGAAACATTCAAGAAGGAAAAAAATATTTTAGCGGCAAGCATAAATTATACGGATTTAAGGTGGAGGTTTCTGTCTTGCCCAACGGTTTTGCGGAAGGCTGTAGCGAACATTTCGCAGGTTCAGTTTCTGATATCGACATTATAGTGCACATGAAGCCGTTTCACGACATGGCGTTGGCAAAGACGGAGGACGAGAAGGAGGTCACAGATATTGGCATTCTTTCAGACAAGTACCCAGATAGCTGGGCTCTACTCGCAGATAACGGCTAACAAGGAGCTGTGGAGTTTTTTCGGGCTATATATCCGCGGGAACAACTGCCTCGTCGGTTTTTATCGACTGAAGATGACGCCTTCAATAAGAAGGTTTCAGCCGATCGAATAATTGTCGAGAATTTTTTGGCCGTGCTGGTGGGTTGTGGGCGGTTTTGTCAGCTAAGTTTAGGTGGGGGGAGACGCTTTATGACTCAATATTTCGGCTCTGTGCTGCTCTTACGAACGCACACATCATGTGCAATCCTTTGCGAAGGGACGATGCTGACACCTATCATAGGTCTTGTAATCGGTTGTATGCCATCGGGGATGCCACAGTGAACAAGCGAAAGCGCAAGCAGGAGCGTTATCGACAACGCCGTAGACAGAGACTGGCAATAACATTCCGAGGGCAAGCTGTGGATGGGGAGGAAACGGAACACGAATAAATTCGCCAGCTGACATCAATCTGATGAAACGTGCAGTGTTTGGGCATTTACCCCATGTTTGCGTAAGATCCTTGTCTTCTCCATGAAAGGTTGGACCAAATTTTATTTTTTAATCTTTTGTGGTGTCTACAGTGCTGTGGAACTATCATGATCGTTGGGTACTTATTCCATCGTTTTTCAATTACCTCGTATTTGCCAAAGAGACCTATTGAATACTAGGTTGAGCTGTGCTCTCCCGGTACCCGGAGAGAGGCACGAGACGACAGTACATTAGGGAATGGTAAGGTACTCTAGAAACCCAGGGAAAAAGGTATTGGGAAGTAATAGCGTCTTGTACAGTCAACGTTGTGTTCTTACTCTGGTGTCTCGTGTTTAAAGGCTGCGGCCGACCATTCAATGCCAGACTTCCTGCAACCACGCCGAGTACCGCCGTACTGACACTGGCTGCATGAGGCAGCCCTTTGCCAGTCCAGTATGCATCCGTTCGACCAGATCATAATCTGTCCTGAGTCCCATGGCACCTTCTCGACGAAACTTGGTGTCGCACACAGCATTTCTCCTCCGACATGATCGCCCCATACCATCAGCCCCAGCAAAGGTCTCCTACAACGCCTTCTTTCGGGCCGGTACGCACGGGGTCATACGGTTTCGCCTGCGGTAACTTCTAGTTACGGAGATCTACCTTCGTAGAGGCTGCAATGTTGCTGAAGCCAAATCCCCATCGACGAAGTTTCCGTTTCGGTTTGTATGTCTGCATATCCCTAGCGTGGAATTTTAAGGTTCCATATATGGAACCTTAGTTTCTGGACCTTATAACTACATCAGACTCTGGTTTGTTAAAGCGAGACTTCGCCAGATTGCTTAATTCCAGCCCATAAGCAACTATACCGGAGCACAACAGCGTTAACAATCGTAAACGTGCATTTTCAAGGCGTGCAAGTTGGGACAATTAGACTCTCTCAGAGGTCCATTTTCCGTATGGATCCTGATGAATCGTAATCCTCATAGTTCTGTCTTTACTCGTCGTCGCCGTCTCGTGGGTCTAAGTACCACGTGTGACAGACTGTAGTGCGGACAGTCTGTCCTTGCGGTCCATGACGGGTGCACCCTTCAGCATCTGGTGAAGAGAGTTGCGGTCCGTCAATCCCGGGGGACGCTGAGGGGTGCGCGCGGAGGTGGAACTGGGGTGTGCTCTTGGATCGGGGCTGCGGGTGCCGTTTGGTTGGATGATTTGGCACAGCTCCTTGAACCGAATGGGGCCTAGCGCTTCGGTGAATAGGTCGGCGGGGTTGTGCACTGTGGGGATGTGCTCTGTTGCTATGTTCGCGCTCTGAATGTGGTGCTGAAGGTGGTGGTGCCTCACATCGATGAGTTTGCGTCGACGTGTGGGGGCCGAGTTTTCGGCTATCTGGATCGTTGATTCGTTGTCTATGAAGATGGGGGTTGGGTGTTTTTGGGGGTGCTGCATGTCCTGGAGCAGCCGGCGGAGCCAAATTTTTTGTTGAGCTGCGTGTGAGGCTGCTATATATTCAGCTTCACATGTGGACAGGGCCACGACGTCTTGCGGAGTGGACGTCCATGCTATCGGTGAGTGCCCCATTGTGTGGAAAATTCCTGTGAGTGACTTGCGACTTTTCGCGTTTGCGTAGTCGGCGTCGCTGTACGTTTGGAGGCAGACGGGCGAGCTGGCGTGGTACGAAATGGTTTGGGCTTTGGTGCCCTTGAGGTACCGTAGTAACCATTTTAGCTGATGCCAGTTTGCTTGAGTCGGTTGTTGGCTGTGTCGCGTTAGTTGGTTTGTGGTATGATATGCGTCATATCGAGTGCTGTCGACGACGTACCTCAGATCTTCGAGGATGGAGCGAGAGTGACTTGCCAGAGTGGGAGAAACTGGTGCTGTCTCGTTCAGTGTGGCTTTGTTTGGTTTTTGCGGTGCGGGTGTGGTTTTGGGGTTACATTCGGCCATGTTGTGCTTCTGGAGTATAGTGTCGATGGCCTGTTGCTGTGATACGTGGATGCTGCCTTGTGCATCTCGTGTGATCTGCCAACCGAGATACGTGGTTGGAAAACCGAGATTTTTGATGGTGTACTTCTTTTGCAACGTGGCCAGGAGGTCGTCGATTAGGTGTTGGTGTGACGCGGTGACTAAAAAATCGTCCATGCTGACGGTGACGAGCAGCCTGCTGTTGGCTTTGACGCTGGTGAACAGGCAGGGGTCACTGTCGCATTGGAGGTAGCCGTGCAATCTTAGGTGTTTTTGGAGTCCGGATGTGTAGCGATGTCCTGCTGAACGGCCTCCGTAGAGGTTGCCGAGAAGCTGTCCCGCTCGGTGTGCATGTTTCATTGAGCTGTCAAATCGTGGGTGCTGGCGGACGTAGACGGGGAATTTTGGGTCGTGAGACTCATAGAGGTATGCTGCGGTGATTTCCATGTATTGTACGGGCCATTGGTTCGCTGCTGCCATTGCGAGTAAGGTGCGTACTGATGTCTTTTCGGCCATGAATGTGGATGTTTTATTTGGGTCGAAGTGCTGTCCTGCCTTCATGCGGTCGCCTCGTATGGAGCAACGGGCTTTGCGTTTGGCGATTTTGCCTTCCGGGGTGTGCTTGTACCTGTATGTAATTGTTAATGGGATGAGCGTCTCATCGGGCGGCACTTTTGTCGCTGGGATCCATTTGATAGTGCGCTGTTTGTCTAGAGTGTCTAACTCGTCGTTGTGTGCTGCTGCCCATTGTTAGGCGTCAGGGTATTGGCGCGCTGCGTGTACGTGTCGGGGTGCAGTTGTGGTGGCGTCGACTGTGCTGGGCGGTGGGTTGTGTCGTGTTGGTGCGCGCGTTCTCTGACGCGTTTTGTGCCGAGAGGGTGTGACTTTGAATGCTTGGTTGGACGTGTGTTTGGGGTCCTGGTGCCTGGCGTATGGTCTGAAGTCGATCGCTCTGATGATGCGGTATCGGGGGTTGCGTATAGTGAGGGTCATGACGTGGGTTTCCGATATGGGATAAATATATCTTGCGGGTTCGCTGCGCCCTTGTAGTTTTGTTTTGTGTGCGTGTATGGGGGCGGTGCCGATTTGCCTGAATGCGAAGATGCGGGTCATGTGGGCTTGGCGTCCGTGCCAGAGTGTCCATGGACTTTGTTGTGTGGCGCTGTGCCGCATGATGTTGTATTTGAAGGCTACATCTCGTACGGCATCTTCCCAGAATTGGGGTGGGAGGGCTGCGTGGTGTAATGCGGCGCGCGCATTTGTGAAGAGCGTCTTATTGATCCGCTCTGCTATTGAGTTCTCTTGCAGTTGATGGGGCGTGTTTGTGATGTGCTGTATGCCGTGCGAACTGTACGTGGCCTTGGCGTGTGACGATGTAAATTCCTTGGCGTTGTCCGTTCTGTATGCGAGAGGGAGTTT